TTTTAGACGAAAAATAAGAATATTATAAATTTTTGGAAAATGGGCGTAGCCACGCCCACTTATGGTTACATGTGTATATCTTGATAACCGCCGCACCAATTTCTTCCAAACTTGGCACAGTTGTTGGCCTTCGCACAACATACTAAATGGCCGAAAATTTTTAAAATCGCTCAATAACCACGCCTACTTCCCATATAACGGTAATTTTCAGAAATACGAAAACTGCGATATTTTAGTAACTACTGGAGATTATTCGCTCAAAATTGATATTTACAATAATTTTTCGACGAAAAATAAGAATATTATAAATTTTTGGAAAATGGGCGTAGCCACGCCCACTTATGGTTACATGTGTATATCTTGGTAACCGCTGCACCAATTTCTTCCAAACTTGGCACAGTTGTTGGCCCTGGTACAGCATAAAAAATCGCCGAAACTTTTTAAAATCGGACAATAACCACGCCCACATCCCATATAACGGTAATTTAGAGAAATACAAAATCTTCGATAAATCAGTAAATATTGAAGCTAATTTATTCAAAATTGATACTTGCAACAATTCTTTACCAAGAAATACGTTTATGGTAAAATTTTGGAAAATGGGCATGGCACCGCCCACTTATGATCACATATATGTATATCGGTAACCGTTCTACCAATTTATACCAAACTCGGTGTGGTTATTGTGCTTGCCACATATAAGCAAAACGTTGAAAATTATTGAAATCGGACTAAAATAACGGCCGCTTCTCATATAACGGTAAATTTCAGAAATGCTTGAAACTTCAATATTTCGAAATTGAAGGACGCTAATTTACTCAAAATTGATACACCCCGGCTTACCATCTAGCGGAAGGTTTCGGAAAGGTGAAAAAACATATTTAATACTTGCGCCGGGTATTTAATGTTCGGCTCCGCCCGAACTTAGACTTTCTTACTTGTTATTTTATATATCTGTACTGTAATGTTTGCTGACTGTACTTGCAGATACTGCCAATATAGAAGTATTACATATGTATATGGATTCAGGTTATGAAATGGACGTGTTGATGAAAATGAAAATGAAATGAAATTTACAGAATCTATAGTTCTTACCTGTAGCTTCACGGGACTACACCGCTCGACTGTTTTTATTTTTTTTTGTTTAGTGCATGTGCAAGTTTTTTTATGGCCAAAATTTACCTAATTTTTTTCAAAATAATTAAAATAATTTCTTTGGGAAAAAATCCGTGTTATCCACAATAGAGTTGAGCTAATTCTTGTAATTTGATACATAGTATAAAAATTTAGTTGAGATGTATGAGCGTTAATGATTCATGTGTTTATGCAAATAAAGGCTGTTTATGCAGATAAGCGAGCCCGTTTGTCACGCGTATTGGATTCTCATTAGCTTTAAAAAATTCTAATTTCTCGCAAGGATTGAATTGGTTTTTTATAAATATTCAATAGATCAGAACATTTTCTCATTTTTTCCGAATCAAAGAAAAATAATAAGTAACATACTTTTTATGATGATAGGTACATAGGGATCGTTAAAAGATACTGCTGGCATTCGTTAGGTTAATAAGTGTTTGTCATCTTCACTACGGAATTTGTTCCCAATTCAATGATTTAAATTATTTTGAAAAAATAGGTAAATTTTAGCTATAACCACTCACACATGCACCAAACATGAAAATAACCTAACGAGCGGTGCAGTCACTTGCAGCTAAAGCTAAGAACTATAGACTGCGTAAACTTTGTATTTTTATCTCGCAGCCAACATTGATTTCATAACTTATTAATGCGATTTTTTTTAATTTCGAAACCTAAAGTAAATTTTTCTTTTATAAGGAGCGAGCTGCGCAGGCAGCTGTAGGCCCCTCCCCTTTGTGAAGCAATATAAAGGCGCACGCCACAAATCGGAGGAGAAGCTCGGCCAAACACTAACATATTGTGTAAACCCAAATTTATTATTATTATTAAGTAATTGTAACACACTGCCATTATTTGGAGGTATTGACTGACCGACTTGTTTATGCTTACAATAAAACTGTCATCTTTTCCACATTTGAGAGATAAATTGGATAAAGCATAAAAATGGCGATCTTTTAAAGTTTTAATTCGGACAGGCGGAAACGAGCGTTTGTAAATTTTAATCTATTTAAATTTTGTTCTTTGGGACCCTAGAGAAGAGTTCCTCAAAGTTACAGCAAAATCTGAAATGGATCGGCTTCTTCAATTAGATGCTTTCATATGGAATGACTCATAGCCGTATTTGAAACGCATGGTTCCCTTAAAATTAAGCCACCCATTTGTACTTGCTTGTGAGTATTGTCGTACAAACTTTTAAAATCTATTTCCACATTTTTTCTTATCAGAGATAATTCCTTCAAACTAATATCTGGCTTAGAGCCATCAACAAGCCTTCATATATCTTTTTTGTCCGATCAGTTCAAATTTATTTTATTTTATGTTTGTAGGCTAGTCTGATCTTTTCAGTTCTGGTGCGAATAAAACTACTTTATTCCACTTTTCACCAGACGTTTCGCTAAAACTTTTTTAGCATCCTCAGGGGTAGTGTTTATTTTATCTGTTACAACAAATATAGAAAATTACAAAAAACGCACACATTAAGTATTAACCGAAAAAACAAAAATGTATACATATATAACAACAAATTGAATTTAATGGCAAACCAACTTACATTGTTTAGATAATCAAACATAGATATGTATATGTATAAATACTTAATCACTAAAAAAGAAAATATATCCATACCACTTGATGTGGTAGTTTTGTCAGTACTGAAAATTTCATTTTTGTAAACAAGTTATGTATGCGGCCGCAATGTTGTCTGTATCTTCCTTCTTATTAATTGTCATTTCTCGTTTTTGCATAATTCTAAGGCTCTCTATTGTGTATCGAATCTGTTCTCTTCTTTCTTTGTCAATAATATTTGTATTCGCGAAATCAGCTGTGCGTCCACTTGTTAAAATGTGCTGTGATAATGCTGTACTGCTTTTCCGT